GTGGTGTGATCACAGCTCACTGCAGCCTCGAACTCCTGGTTTCAAGTGATCCTTGCTCTTTGGCCTCCCAAAGTGCTGGAGCTACAGGCACATGCCCCCATGCTTGGCTTTGGCTTCTACGGTTTTGACCTTAGGGATGTCCCAGGTATATGGCTTACGTATACATTCTAGCTTCAATAGGAAACTCATGCTGCTTGACAGAACCTGGTACCCAGAACAATTCCAATAGCATCAAACCACCAGAACAGGACATTGTTCCCTCAAAGGGACTTGAACACACCTGGACAAAATGTCTTCTACATACGATGCTGTCTTGCCCCCCCCAGACACCGCCTTCAGGGTAGAGACACCTGTTCCCCCAGCTGCCATGAGTGGTAGCTGCCACAGGCTCACAGAGCATGGCTGAAGCGAGCTACTTTGCCCAACTGTCCCCCTCCCTGGGGATCTCACATTTGAAGACTGGTCAATGGGCGCAGCTCCCTTGTCTCAATCTAGGGGGACTCTGGAGAGCCCTCAGTGCGAGCTGCCTGTGGGGTGGGCAGAGTCTCTTCTGGAAACGGCATCACCATCTAGCTTCTTCCTCTGATTGAACCTGCTTGTCTCCCTGCTGTCTGGTGTTTGTCCCCAAATCTGCTCCTAATAAACTTTTCTGTGCAAATCTTAGTCTAAGAGTCTTTTTCCTCGGGAACTTGACCCAGCAGACTGTTGTTAATGGTCCAGGAAAACAGGCTGCAAAGGGGATTTTGGGGCTAGGCCACTCTCCAGGTGGCTGGCCCTGAGCATCCCATCGCTGGTGGAAAGGTGGTGTTTTGAAAGCCCCTGGCATACTATGGCTGATGTGTACTTGTTAAAACCTCACTGGCCGTGAATCAGGATGGAATACAGGTAGAAAGGAATATTGTGGTTGGTGTACTTGACTGGGGAGAAGGGAGGGGTAATTACAAATATTACAGGGTAGACGGCTATTGTTGGATGGTACGGTTGCATCTGAAGAAGGCAAGGAAGGCTGAGGGTGGTCATCACCATATAAAGCAAAGTATCAGAGTCAGAGGCCCTTGTTAGCATAAGAAGGATCTCATTTCCTATAACCTAAGGGCCGGGATTCCCAGGGCCTGACCATCAGGGCAGCAGAGCTCCAGAGCAGGCTGAATTCTCAAGCCGGTCTAGTCTTCTATCCAGGGAAGGAGGGAGGCTCTGACACTTGGGATGTGGATGTCTGGGTAGAGACACACTGGAGACCTGGAATGCTCAGGTCCACAGGAACCCTCTGGGTCTGCAGAAATGGTGCACCACTCCCCAGCAAGGCTAGCTTTCCTCCTCTGCCTTGCAAGGCAATGTATGCCCTGCCTCAGGACCTTCCCCCAGTACCCTCCTGGCCACAAGATCAATAAGGAGGGTCATATTACAACTTAGCCTGTGTGGGAAAGTGCTATCCTGCTTGTTCCCAAAGGAGCTGCAGAATCAGCCATCCTGAAGCAGTGGGAGCCCAGGGTGCACATATGGGACTGAGCCCAGAGGACACTGGATTAAGGGAGGGGAATGTGAAGTTGGATTTGGGAGCATTTATTACAACAGAAATATTCCCCCAGGACACAGGCTTTAACAGCCTGGCCAAGATCCTGGGTGCAAAATAAAGATTCATTGACTGAATAAATAACACTTTACATGTGAAATATTTGATTATGCAAATTAAAAGTATCAAATATATAAAGAAGAAGGCAAATTCTAACTAGGGAAAATGGTGGATTAGGACACCTGAAAAGAGAATAAAGCTTTAATTTACATTACCACTGTATCTCCCTATTAAATATCTCAATTTTAAAGTTATCTAAAGTTAATTTCCATGTTAACTTTCTCCAAAAACCAAAAGCAATTAGAAACTAGTTAAAAACAGTAGGTGACGGGAGACAACCAATGTAATATACAAATATACACATGCATTAATATGATAGTGATAGCAACAGGAGACAGACAAATTCCGAGACAGAGAGGGGCAGGTCCCCAGTGAAATCCAGCCTTCAAGCCAAAGACAGCTTGAAGCCTGAAAACGGAGCTGCCAGAGTCTACGACTGGAGTGAGAACTTCCTTGATGTGTTCTTTCTAGACCCACCTGGAAGGAGTGGTGCTCTTTCCAGCACGCACTCCCCCATTCTGATCCCATCAAAACCCTGGACACAGCCACACGTTGGGACTACCCACCTTTGGGCCCCCTCTCACTCAGAGGGCGACTCACTTCGGATCCCCTCTCCTATCAAGAGCTGTTCTGCCTTGCTCACTCTCCAGTGTCCGTGTAACCTCATTCTTCTTGGATATGGAACAAGGACCCGGGACTTGCTGAATGGTGGGTGCAAAAGGAGCTGTCACCCTGTAGCCCTCCCACCCTCTGCTAGTGCCAGGCGGCCAGCCCACGAGACAGGAAGTGATGGTGGGGCGGGGCCAGCCCAGGGGGCCAGAGTGGGATGGTGGGACAGAATGAGCTGCAGCACAAATGAGCTGAAACACACCACTTGCACTGTTTGCAGCCACACAAACGAGCCACAACACACCCTTCTCCCTGACCTGGTTCGCCATGCTGCAGGTGGCAAGAAGGAGAGAAAGAGTCGTAACAGTCCCTGGGGGCTCAGACCTTGGGATCCCCCCAGGTTAGAGCCGTAACACCCCTTGGGGCTCCGTGGTTGCTGGCATCTCTGAGTTTTCAGGCACCGCCACCATGTTCCCCCTCATCCAGATGGTGGTGCCCAAGGTGGAAAATGGGTGCAGCACACCCAGGCCAGACATGGGCTAAGCGCAGAGTGGTTGTGGGTGTGGAATCTAGGCCGGTAGTGTAAGGAGCACAGCCTGCTGGGTCGAGTGGGCAGAGCGAGCCCAGAGGTGAGCCCAGAGCTGTGTGAGGCCCCGGCAGGGGTGCTGGGCCGGCTGCAGAGATTTCCAGCTGGCAAAGTGGCACTGAAAGAATCCTGTGTCAATAGGATTATTACTGAAAAATGAATTATTCTCTAGAAAGATTTTAATACATCAGGAAAACTTGGGGGGAATTCCGTTTAGATGTGAACACTTATGAACATATCCCCAACCCCCTCAATTTTCTTATTTACTAATATGAGCTCTTATATTACGTTTTCTCTGGGACAAACACCTCAGCTCCCAACCCACCCGCTACACTCCCACAAAACACAGAAAACCCCTCCTACCAAGAGATCAACCTAAGAGGTCTGCAGTCGGCTTTTGGACCTTGTGTCTTCAGAAGAAAACTATGTTCAGTTATTTTCTTCACTAAAAGATGCGGAATCCAATGCTAGAAAAGCACAGAATTTGTAAAATATATTTCAATGAGGATTCATAAGTATAGCAAATAAAATTTTAAGTGCATTAAAGATACTTAGCAGATGACTAAAAGAATCCTGTAGAGAAAAGGATGCAGCTAATAGTCACCAATATGCCCCCCACACCCCAAAACCCTAGCCTAAATCTGCATCAGACTTTTCCCTCCCTCCCTCCCTCCTTCCTTCCTTCCTTCCTTCCTTCCTTCCTTCCTTCCTTCCCTTTCCTTTCCTTTTTCCTTTCCTTTTTCCTTTCCTTTCCCCTTTCCTTTCCCCTCTTTCCTTTCCTTCTTTTTTGACAGGGTCTCGCTCTGTTACGTACATTGGAGTGGAGTGGCTCAGTAATAGCTCACAGCCCCACCCTCCCAGGCTCAAATGATCCTCCTGTCTCAGCCTCCCAAGTAGCTGGGACTACAGGTGTGTACCACCATGCCTAATTTTTCTTTTTTTTTTTAATAGAAATGAGGTCTCGCTATATTGCCCAGGCTGGTCTCAAACTTTTGAGCTCAAATGATCCTTCTGTTTTGGCCCCACAAAGTGCTGGGATTACAAGCATGAGCCACTGTGCCTGGCCAAGTTTTTAAAAATATATGAGTCTATCAAGTCAGGAAAACATGACCATACATTAGATAATATCATAACTAATTTTTCTGTAAATAACACTTTTTCCCTGTGTTTTTTTTTTTTTTTTTTTTTTTTAGACAGTTTCACTTATCCAAGCTGATCTTGAACTCCTGGACTCACGTGGTTCTCCCATGTTAGCCACCCAGTAGCTGGGATTATGGATGCCAGTCACCATGCCCAGTTTAAAATCTGCATTTTTTAACACCTAGCTTTCCTAGGACCATCTTAATACTGATCTCCGTACAAGAGCTAGGACTTTATGACACTGCTAAGGGCTTTTTTCTCCTATTGATTTTTTTTCAAATAAGTAATACATTCACCGTATAAATAGTAAGAGCATAAAGACATGTATAATGAAAACTTTTCCTATTTTTCATGAACTGAAGCCATTACAATGCCCAGTCCACTTTTAGGGTGGTGTAACCAGCTTGGAAGCTACTCCTCTTTTAAAAAGTAAAATAAATCTTAATTCTAATCCCTAGAGTCAGCATCTCCTTCCAAACACAGTGATTGGATGTGCTGCTTCTGCTGATTCCAAGTGAAAGAGGTTTCCCCCCATCTTTGTCCCACTTCTGACACGTGGAGCTCACCTCACTTACCGCTGAGATAATTGTAATGGCTGCTTTGTAACTGCTGTACTTTCCAAGCGGAGTCACAGGTGAAATGAGACAGGGGTCTGAGCTGAATGAACTGAGAGATGGGAAGTTTTTTTTAGATAGGAGTCTTTATGGTGGCTGGGTTCCAAGCAGATACCTGGTTGTGCTGGGTTGCTGGACCACACAGTAGTACTTAAAAGGCAGTGCAGGCCACCTCACAAAGCCTGATGACATCACACAGCACGTCACAGCCCCCAGGCAGCCCTTGCCTGTGAGCTCCAACCAGCAGGTGGAATCCAGAGGTTCCAAGGTCCACAGGGTCCTCACCCCTCCACTGAGAAAATAGGGAAAGTCTCAAGGTGAGGTCCAAATCCAGGGTGACTCTCCTTCTCTAGGCAAGGCCTGATTTTTAGCATTTTTGAAATAAACTTAAAGAACAAGCTTTCAGAAAACATGAAGAAACTTAAAGATGAGCCAAAGGGTTGTTTGACTGCCCTTTAGTTCTCTGGTCTCCATGACTCAACGTTTAGACGTCAGTACACAAGTTCAGCCAAATGCTTGTGAAATTTCTTCTGAACTCATCCGAGGAGACTTGACCCTCCCGACTTGAGGATTCTGACTGCTTTGCCTGACAGCAGACAAACTCTGCCTCAGGGTCTGTGAGTGGAAGGGGGATGGGTGGGACCTCCTGCAGCCTCTCTGGGGCAGACACGATGAGCAGTAGTGACTTCCTGGGGCAGGTACTGAAACTGTGCCAAGGAGTTAATCCCAGGACGAGCACACTTTTGAGGTAAGAGAAGCAACCAACCTGTGGAAACACTGAAACTCCGTCCGCTTGTGAGATAACAAAATGGCAGGAACCAGTTGGAACCAATATGGCCAACTGGAGTTTCTGCAGAAGGAGCTTGCTGGTGTCACGGCCCGGATTTCCACGTGTTTCATGCTAGCTGCCCTGGAATTTAATTAGCACACGGGACCCAAGAGGAGGCAGGAAGAGATAACTGCACATGTCTGAGGACTTTCCAGAGCTCCCCTTTCCTTCCACTAGTCTCCTGCAAATCCTGGAACCCACCCTCTAACCCTTTTCTAATAAATGATTTCCTTAAAGGCAGCACAGAGAGACAGATTGGAGCTGGACTCCTGTGTCCTTGTTGGTCAACTTGCAAAGAAAGCTTTTCTTTTCTCTAAAACCCGGTGTGTTAGTATAGACTTCTGGTGCATAGGTCAGTGACCTCTTTTGCTTGGTAACAACATGATGGACATAATGACCTCCTGGGGCAGACAGATGGGCATGAATGACGCCCAAGCCAAGCTCCTGAGCCTCCTTTCTGCAGGCTGGATGGGAAGGTCCTTCTTGCCCGTTAATAATATTAAAAATAAGCTTTTATTCATAATAGCCCCAAACCAGAAAAAACCCAAATGTCCGTTGGTAGGAGAATGGACCCACTGTGGCATGTGCATATAATGCAATGCAAACCAGCAGTGAAAAACACCAAACTGCAGCTGCGTAAACAGGGATGCATCTTGCAGGCGTGGTGTGGAGCCGAAGCAGCTCATGGGAGTGCACGATTCTATTTCTGTGAAGTTTCTGCAGAAAGAGAGCTTGCTGATGTCACAGCCCGAATTCCCACAGCATGTGGAAGGCAGCAAGAAAAAGCAAAGCGACCCTAAAGTGACAGAGCAGTTTATCTGTCAGTAACCAGCAGCCCTGGGTGGGAACCAGAAACAGGGTTGCTGGTTACCGAGAGGAAGCAAGAGCCCTAGAGTGGCAGAATGTTCTGTGTCTTCTTGATCTGGGAGAAGGCGAAGGCTTCATGGAGCGTACTTATGCAAACGTGCGTAGGGCTGGTCAATGAAAATGTGTATACTGCACTGTACGTATGTCATATCCTCAAAACACGAAGGAAAAAAAGTGAGTCAACACAACTTTAGGACAAAGATTTTATTGTGGGAGTTTTGCAACCATTATATGGTTTGGTTGCTGAAATAAAGTAAACTCTTTCTTTCTGAGAAAGGTACATATACACCATGTTTAAAGACAAGAGTTCGAATTGTGTTTGTTTATATTTATATTTATTTATTTGAGACAGAGTCTTGCTCTGTTGCCCAGGCTGGAGTGCAGTGGTGTGATCACGGCTCACTGCAGCCTCACCTCTCAGGCTGAAGCGATCTTCCTGCCTCAACCTCTTAAGTAGCTGGGACCACAGGAATGTGCCACGACACACACCCAGCTAATTTTTAAATTTCATATTAGTTTTTGTAGAGACAAGACCTCACTATGTTGCTCAGGCTGGTTTCGGATTCCTGGGCTCAAGCTACTCTCCCGCCCTGGCCTCCCAAAGTGCTGCAATTACAGGCATGATCCACTGTGCCCAAACTTTCTTTTGAGTAGGAGTCTCATTCTGTTACCCAGGCTGGGGTGTAGTGGTGCAATCTCAGCTCACTGCAACCTCCGCCTTCTGGGTTCAAGCAATTCTCCTGTCTCAGTCTCCCGAGTAGCTGGGACTACAGGTGCACGCCACTGTGCCCAGCCAATTTTGTGTAGTTAGTAGAGACGGGGTTTCACCATGTTGGCCAGGCTGGTCTTGAACTCCTGACCTTGTGATCCACCCGCCTTGGCCTCCCAAAGTGCTGGGATTACAGGCGTGAGCCACCACGCCCGGCCTGGAACTTTATTTTTTAATTGAGATATTACATACCATACAATGCACCTTTCATCCATGTTGTGGCATTTGTCAGTATTTCATTCCTTTTTATGGCTGAATAATGAGCCATTGTTTGAAAATACTACATTTATTTATCTGTTCATTAACTGGTGAATATTGAGGTGCTTTCCACTTTGGGGCTGTTTTAAATAGTACTGCTATGAATATTCATGGACACGTGTTGTGTGGACATAAGTTTTCAGTTCTTGAGTATATACGTAAGAGTAGAATTGCATCTGGTAACTCTATGTTTAATTTTTTGAATAATTGCCAGACTATTTCATAAAGCAGCTGCATCATAGAATTTTTATTTCCAAGATTTTTCCCAAGGGGGAGGAAAACAGCTCGTGAACAGCCCCTCCTTAGGGCTTGCCCTACAGATTTCACACTTGCTTTGCCAGCCCCTATCATTTTGCACCAACCAATTCCTGGCATACGTTTCTTTATATGTATCTCCTACCGCTTCTGCTTCTCAAGTTAACTGAACTTACGCTTTCTCAAGTGTAACTAAACCCTTTAAAAAAAATACAGAACCACTGGGCTTAGTGGCTCATGCCTGTAATCCTAGCACTTTGGGAGGCCAAGGTGGGCAAGTCATGAGGTCAGGAGTTCGAGACCAGCCCGGCCAACATGGTGAAACCCTGTCTCTACTAAAAATACAAAATCAATAATTGATTAATTCATATGCTCTAAAATATTATTTATTGTCAACCATATTGTTTGTTTAGTCTTTGTCGAGAACAAGATTTGAAGTCCTTTTTAAAATAAAAGTGCCATTTTTTAATAGGACACACATATATAGTCCTAGCTACTCAGGAGGCTGAGGCAGGAGAATTGCTTGTACCTGGGGGGCGGAGGTTGCAGTGAGTGGAGATTGTGCCACAGCACTCCAGCCTGGGCCACATAGCAAGACTCCATCTCAAAAAAAAAAAAAAAAAGAAACCTAGAAAGTTCCTGTATGTCCGTTCCCTGTCAATGCTCATTACCATCTGGCACCACAAGCAAGCACTATTCTGATTTTATTTAGCATATATTAGTTTTTTCCTGCTGTAGAATTTCATGTAACTGAAAGGATATGATATATGGTACGAAACCTTGCATAAGGTTTCTTTCATTCAGCATAATATTTTTGAGACTTATTGTTTCATGCATCAGTAGTTTACTTTTTATTGATGAGTAGTTTTTTCCATTAAAATCATATGGTTTGTTTATTCATTATTTTGTTCATGAATAGCTGGGTATTTTAGTGTGCTCAGGCTGCCATACAAAATACTACAGACTTGGTGGTTTAACAACCAAAATTTCCTTCCTTCCTTCCCTCCCTCCCTCCCTCGCTTCCTTCCTTCCTTCCTTTCTTCTCTCTCTTTCTTTCTTTTTTGAGATGGAGTCTCATTCTGTCATCCATACTGGAGTGCAGTGGCACCATCTCAGCTCACTGCAACCTCTACCTTCTGGGTTCAAGCGATTCTCCTGCCTCAGCCTCCCGAGTAGCTGGGATTATAGATGTGGCCAATCATGCCCAGCTAATCTTTGTCTTTTTAGTAGAGATGGGTTTTCACCATGTTGGACAGGCTGGTCTTGAACTCTTGACCTTGTGATCTGACCCCTTGCCCCCCGCCGCCACCTGCCTCTCAAGTACTGGGATTATAGGCATGGACCATCACACCTGGCCTGAAGTTAATTTCTCGTAGTTCTAGAGGCTGCAAGCCCAAGATCAAGCTGACGCAGGGTTGGAATTCTCTGAGGACTCTCTCTTTGGCTTGCAGACGGCCACCTTCTTGCTGCGTCCTCACATGCTCTTTCTTAGGTGTGCACACACCCATGGGGTTCTCTCTGTATGTGTTGTAATTTCCTCTTCTTAAAAGGGCACTGATCAGATTATATTAAGGCTCACTCTAACAACCCCATTTTAACTTAATTACCTCTTTAAAGGCCCCATCTTCAAATACGGCCAGTACCATTCTAAGGTACTAGGAGTCAGGATTTCAACATATGAATTTGGTGGGGCGCAATTCAGTCAATAGCATCACACTGTTTCCAGTTTGGAGCCTTTACAAATAAAGCTGTTCTGAAATTCTCGGACACATTTTTCTATGGCACCAGGTCAAACTGAATGACATCATCAATATGGCAGGACAGCATGATGTGCTGTGGAAGGTCCGGATGAGCACTGTACCTGCAGAGCACATGTGACAGAGAGCAGAGGGTTAGCACAGCCTGGGGAAGTCTAATGGATTGTGCCATCCCTACCATGTAGGGGCAGACTATTTCATTGATGGGGACCAAGAAGAATGAATTTTCCAGAAAAATTGCTCTATACCAAGTGCCAAAGCCTTGTTGCTACTCTCCACTGAAGGTGCACACCTACAGTTGGAGCTACCACCTGATTAAGTTTAAAACAGTTACTGTCATTTGCAACAGTCCATTTGATTTTTATAGGGGCCTTACAGGGACATTGAATGGGGATGTGATGGGACCACTACTCCTGCATCCTTTAAGTCTTTGATGGTGTTAATCTCTGCAACTGTTCTGGAATGTGGTGTTTCTCTTTCTGATTTGCTGTCTCGGAAGGGTGTGCAAGGAGTGGGGATGAGAAGTTTCAGGGACTTCCTCTTGGCAGACTCTTCTGTAATGGTCCTTCTTCCACAGGTGAGGGAATCGACTGAAGGATTCTACCAATTGTTAGGCATGTCTATCCCAATTGTACACTTAGGGACCAGAGGAATAACTGCAGAGAAAATCCGTGGGACCATCAACTCACTGTCATTCATACTTAGGTAAAATGCTATTGATCACCTGGCGACTTCAAGTCCCCCCTCTAATAGGGGCTTGTGATGCTGTTTCGGATCCTCTGAAATCAGGACTAACAGCTCCTGGTAGATTCATGCCTATTCATTTTTCCCCTTTGTAATCCCTCCAGTGCAGAAGAACTTGATATACCTAACCTTTTTTTTTTTCTTTTTGAGATGGAGTTTCATTCTTCTTGCCCAGGCTGGAGTGCAATGGCATAATCTCAGCCCACTGCAACCTCCGCCTCCCAGGTTCAAGTGATTCTCCTGCCTCAGCCTCCCAAGTAGCTGAGATTACAGGCGCCCACCACCACATAAGGCAAATGTTTGTATTTTTAGTAGAGATGAGGTTTCACCATGTTGGTCAGTCTGGTCTTGAACTCCTGATGTCAGGTGATCCACCTGCCTCAGCTTCTCAAAGTGCTGAGGTTACAGGCGTGAGCCAACACACCTGGCCCCTAAACATTTTTGAAAAGTCAGGGTATTCTCTTTTTTTCCTAGGCACAAACCGACAAATGGCTGAAGGCCGTTTTGGGGAAGGGCTGGGCACTATGTACCATATGTACTGCATGGACAGGTCTGTCGTGCTATGGATATCACACCAGAGGGCAAGTCAGGCTCCTGCGCTGCTCCGTTTCTGGACGCAGTTGCCTCGTTTGTTAAAGGAGGATGTTATCGGACACAGTCTTTGG